TACACAATTGATGTATGTATGGATTGTGATAAGAGTTGTATGAGCCCCTAATAAAATGATTTAAAAAAAAAAAGACCATGTCACAGCTCTGCACAAAAAAAAAAAAAGTAAGTCTGGTCTCTATTTTTTTCTTTTAATTTGAATTTTGTGCTACATGTTTACCCATTCTTATTGGGGACTCCTATTGTGGGTCTCATCAACATGAAGAGTAGTGATTCCACCTAGTTAAGTGTAGGGGAGGCAGTGGATCATGTGGGCCGTTGGTGCTTTGGACTAATTGCTTCTTTGAATCTTTGACTTTTTCGCTCTCTTTTATTTCAGATGGGAAGAATTGCTCCGTAGATGGCTGCTCACCAGCTCTGATGACCTGAATTTGGCTAAGTTCTTTAGAGAAGCAAACCAGTGGAGCTTATATGTGTATAAGGTTTATAGCAAGGGAACGTCTCATAGATGTAGAGGGAGACAAGTTTCGAGTTGTAGGGTCATATGCTGGGCCAGAGACTTCTCCTGACATGTGAAACTGTAGGGACTGAGGAATCCAATACCAGCAGGTCTGATGACAGACTTTTGACTCCAAGGTTGACAAGTAAGATGTGACACTACTACTGACAGGCAGGCCTCCAGCTTGAGTCCAAAGGAGTGGAGGCTAATGAGCCAGATGTAGGATCCAGATACAGAAAAAAAGCAAGCAACTTTTTCTACACCATTCCACTTACATGGGAAGCAGGCCACAGCCCCGAGGAGATCTCATCATGGGAAATTACCTGGGCTTAACTGCCAGATCATGCAGACTCCTAGCTTAGCCAACTTGATACAAAACCTTAACTACTACAAGACCCTAGATCAGGGACTGGGACATCTGGCCCATGGGTCATATAAACCTGGGAAATCATCAACACCAGCTCACATCACACGCTTCATCAAAGAGAAGCAGTTCCAGCCATCACACTAGAGGTGAATTAATTAAATGTTTGATTAGTATGGCCCACAAATAATGTTATAAATATCCAAATGGCCCTTGGCAGAAAAAAGGTTCTTCACCCCTGCCCTAGATGCTATTAACCAGACTAGAATATAGAACATTACCTTTATCTGTGCTTTGCCAGTTGACCTAGATGTACCTTGAGACTATGGCTCTTAGCCTTCAAATCCTGTAGTTGAGTCCTGAAGTCTAGTAGTTTCTACAACTCTGCCCCCATGTCCTCTCTGATATATATACATGCAACATTTATTATTTCATCTTAACAGTAAAACTTGTCTTTCCTCAAAATTAATGTCAATCATACATAGTACAGTTGGATTATCTATGCACTCATTACATCCGTGTTGACAGACTGATGATATTTTATGGAGATGTTAGAAACAGGCATAGCTTTCTGGAACTAAAACTCTCACTTAAAAAAAACCCCATTTTATTGGGGACTTGTACAACTCTTATCACAATCCATACATATACCCTTTTTGTCAAGCACATTTGTACATTTGTTGCCCTCATCATTCTCAAAACATTTGCTCTCTACTTGAGCCCTTGGTGTCAGCTCCTCATTTTCCCCTCCCTTCCTGCCCCCCCTCCATCATGAACCCTTGATAATTTATAAATTATTATTATTTTGTCATGTCTTACACTGTCTGATGTCTCCCTTCACCCACTTTTCTGTTGTCCATCCCCCAGGAAGGGGGTTGTATGTAGATCCTTGTAGTCAGTTCCCCCCTTCTACCCCACCTTCCCTCCACCCTCCCGGTATCACCACTCTCACCACTGGTCCTGAAGGGATCATCCACCCTGGATTCCCTGTGTTTCCAGTTCCTATCTGTACCAGTATACGTCCTCTGGTCTAGCCAGATTTGTAAGGTGGGATTGGGATCATGATAGGGGATGAGGGTGGTGGTGGGTAGAAACCATTTAAGAACTAGAGGAAAGTTGTATGTTTCATCATTGCTACACGGCACCCTGACTCACTAGTCTCCTCCCTGTGACTCTTCTGTAAGGGGATGCCCAGTTCTCACTTCTAATTTTATTTTTTAGTGCATAATTTATTCCCACGGTTCAAAGTTCAAAAGACAAAAAGGGCATATTGTGAAAAGCTCATGTCATTACTATTCCCAAGCCCCACTTTTTCTTCTTCAAAAGCAGCCTAAGCCTATGAATGCTTTGTAAGTTTTCCTCAAAATATTCACTGTAATATTGAGTTCTGACCATGAATGATGATGTCTATAAGTGAGAACTACACGATTAGTATGAATTACAGCCTTCCTTTTCTCTTTCTCACACATGCTATTTTTGCACTTCATTTTTTCACATTAAAATATATCTTTTGTGCATAGCATTTGAAAGTGTTGGAAATGCTTACCCAAATAGTTTAATGACAGAATGATAATAATAATAATATGTAATTCTATGACTTTACCTTGTATCCAAAACACTCCCCACATCATTCTGGGGATAATGCTGACAAGAGTAACCAATTTGGTCGCTTACCTGCTTCCTAAGCGTGGCTCCGGTTTCTTAGCCAAGAAGAGTCTGCAAATATCCTTTGATTCCACTGTGAAGTAATCATGATGAAATTTGACCTCCTCTTTCAGGGTTCTTTGTTTTAGTTCCTCTTTGTTGATCTTTTCCTTGTAATCTTTGAATGGTGTCCTCCCAGCCATCATTTGCAAACCAGTCCACAGGATAGGAATAACTTGCTCCTTCCATTAGGATTTCTGGGGCCATATAACCATTGGTTCCAGCCTGTAGCACCCCAAACAAAAACAAAAGAAAGCAAAAAACACAAAAGTGAGCATCGCAAGCATTACATCACATACTCTGGGCATGTTAGCAGGAGGGAATGGTCCTTGGAGAAAGACATCATGCTTAGAGAGTCAGCAAAAGAGAGGAAGACTCTCAACAATCCGGGTTGACACAGTGGTTGTCACCATGGACTCAAACAGCAGTGCCTGAGTGTAGCACAGGACCTCGCGGTGTTGCCCTTCTGCTGCACAGAAGGTCTCTGTGAGTTGGAACGGACTTGACCGCACAGGAGAACAACAAACACCGATCCCATTATCTGTTCTCTTCTTCCCTGTTAAGTGAATCATAATTTTATTTGGAGTTGTAACCTCTATGCTATTCCCTGATTTCTGTTGAAGCCAGAGGAGACCACATAACACAATCTAGCCAATGAGACGTAAAGGGGAATTGGCTGGGAGGACATTATAAAAGGTATATAAATGTAGTTGGTATTGAAATGGGAAAGTTCCTGAGCCCCTTGGCCACTCACCTTTAAGAAAAAAGTTCAAAATGATGTCTCGAAAACTTCTTAAAGCTCTTCTTCTGTTTTCTATTCATAGATAACAGAGAAGTAAATGCATTTTATTTTATTTATTTATTTATTTATTTTTAATGCACTTGATTTTAATGTTTTTATTGGCTCAACAAATGTTTAACAGAGAGAACATCTCTTGTAGGAGCTCTGGTGGCCTAGTGGGTTATTTGTTGAGCTGCTAACCACCAGATCGGCAGTTCAAACCCACCAGCTGCTCCACAGGAGAAAGCTATAAAGTATATGTTTACATTGTTTTCACAGGAAGTATAGGCACTTTTGGTAAAAGTATAATGTACAACCTTAGCAATAAAAATGTTAGTAAATATTTTTTAAACACCCTAAATTGATGATAATAAAAAAAATCAGTTCCTATTTAGTTTATTCAATTTATGGCAATCAATTTCAGAGTATAATTTGATTTGTACAATTTGTTTTATGTTATAGTTGTTGAGAATATAAGGAGTCCTGGTGGTGTAGTGGGTTACAAATTGGGCTGCTAACCAGAAAGTCAGCAGTTTGAAACCACCAGCCACTCTGAAGAAGAAAGATGAGGCAAAGGACTTGAATAGATGTTTATCTAAAGAAGATATAAGAAGGACTGAAAAATACATGAAAAGGTGCTCACCATCATTAGTTATTAAACCTTCTGCTGTCGGATGGATTCTGACTCCTGGCAACCCCACAGGTTTCAGAGCAGATCTGCACCGGTCCTTTAATGCCTATGTCTTTTCAGAAGTAAATTACCAGGCCTTCCTTGCCAGCATTAGCCATCAGGGATATTAAAATGAACATCACAATAAAAAGTCACAATTAGATACAACTTTACAACCACTAGGATGGGTATCCTTTTTAAAAGAGAAAAGAAAGGTAACAAACTCTGTTGGGAATGCAGAGGAATTGGAACCCTCAGACAATGGTGTTAGGTCTGAACGATAGTGTAGCCACCATGCAAAACAGATTGGCCACCACTCAATATGTTGAATGTAGAATTACCATATGATATAGCCATTCTACTCACTCCGAGTTTATGCCCCAAAGAACTGAAAAACAGTTATTCAAACAAACAGAAGTTCATAGCAGCATTATTCATAATTACCATAAGGTGGAAACCACTCAAATGTCTATCAACTGATGTGGTAGACAATAGATAGACAAAATGTGGTATACACATACAATGGAATATTAATCAGCCAAAGAAGTAACAAAGTATTAATCCTTCCTACAATATGAGTGACCCTCAAAAGCATTATGAAAGAAGACAGATATAAAAGGCCACATATCGAATCATTCCATTTATATAAATTACCTAGAATAGGTAAAGTCACAGAGCGGTCGGCAGGTGCTTAGGACGAGGCAGTGAGGAATGGCAGCTGACAGGGCCTGGGAGTCCTTCCTGAGTCAGGAAGCCGTTGGGGCCCGAGGGAGGTGGTAGCTGTACGACACTGGGGGTGCACTCAATGTGAGTCACTGAACGCTCCACCTGGAAATGGTTCATCTTATGCTAGGTGGTGTTCACCTCAATTTTTAAAAAGGTTTGAAGGTAAAGTATTTTAGCTCTTGATTAAATGATTTTTTCCATGTTTACTTTTTTGCCTCAGTACATAGTTTTATGTATGCAATGTCTATAGGGTCTTATAAAAATAAAATTTCATGAATAATTTCTCCACTGGTAATGACAGTGGAGAAACACAGTGGAGGACAAGCACTAATGAAGAGTACCTGCCCTGTACAAGAAACTCCTGGAAGTGACCAGGGTCTGCCAGACTGGGCCTGCGTCAGCACGGCTCTGCTGTTCATACAGAACCCGGGGATAATTTGCAAGACCCATGTTCCCATTTGCTCAGACAGTCGTGCTGTCCTGGCACCCTGCCTAGTTTTATATTTCCCTAAACAAAAAAATCCTGTAGATTCCTTTTGAGTTTAGAATATTGTCATGCACATTCTCAAACTATTTTCTTTTGTTGTTGCTGGAAAGATATAGCAAAAACATACATCAAATCAAGTCCATTTTGATCCCCCTTTTCTGAATTGTTCCTCTCTATTAACATAAAGTTACCTTCTTCCTAAGGTTCCTGTCTAATCTTTGGCTGTTATCAATTTGGTCCTATTTGGATAGAAGGAGCATAGAGAGCGTTAAAGGAGCGCAATGATAAGGGCAGATGCATTTCACTAGTTAAATGAAATGGTTGTCTGACTTCCAGAAGTCTTACTCATCTCCTAGCCGGAGCCCAGGGACCTGCCGCTGTGTCTCAGACTCAGTAGACAATGACAAAGCACTTGCTAAGCCAACAACAGTAAATACAGGAACATTTCCATTCTCTCTCCAGCAAACATTTCTTGAACTCTCACCAAGTAGTGAATTCTAGGAATAAAAAGACTAGAGACTGGTAAAGATGGGAAGGTCCAAGGTTAATCCAACAAAGGAGGGCAAAAGACATAATGGGAGTGTAGAGCAAGCACAAGGAGGTGGCGCGTGTGTGTGTGTGTGTGTGTGTGTGTGTGTGTGTGTGTACTTCACTAAAGAGCTGAATCATGAGAGAAGGATTGACCGCAAAAAGAAGTCTGTCTAGGTAATAAGAGATGGATTAAAGAAAATTGCGGGGTGTTTGTGGAGCTAAAAGGAATTTGGCATCGCTATAATATAGGATTTGGGAAAGACTAGGCTTTCTAGTCCTGTAAAGAGTTACAGTCTTGGAAACCCACAGGAGGCAGCTCTACCCTGTTCCATAGGGCCACTTGTTATGAGTCAGAATCAACTTGATGGCAGTGAGAGTTGAGTGAGACTAAAGATCTATGGCCGGCAGTGGTGGAGAGGAGGCGGCAGATGAGATACGGATGAAATTAAGAAACTATGGCAAGGAGGCACAACCCATGTCCAGGCCCCTTACTCCTTGCCTTCCTCTTTTATAAAGGCCAGAAAGCTAAAATACTCTATCTGACAACCTTCTTTGCATTTAAAAGGACATGTCATGTGAACTTTTGAGAAGTTTATAAACATAGCATGATGAGAATTAGGGAAAAAAAGAAGTGACTTTACCTGGAATTACATAAAAGAAACAAAATAGATTAATGGCTCAATAGAGGGGTGAATAGGTGGACAGATATGTGACAGATATGAATCTAGTAAAATGCTAATGGTATATGATGGACTATTGTTAAATCACACAAAAGAATGAAGTCCTGATTCATACTACAAAAGGATGAACCTTGAAAATTACATTCAGGGAATCTAGCAACCCACTAAAGACCATATATAGTATGATTCCACATATTGTATGCATTTTTTTTATTGTATAAAACTTTGAGAAGACCAATTCACAGGACAGAAAGCAGATTACTAATTCTCAGTAGAGAAGATGACCCTCAACAACATGGATTGACATGGTGACTGCAAGAATGGGCTCAAACAGAACACCAATGATGAGGATTATACGGGGCCTGATAATGTTCCCTCTGCTGTACATAGAATTGCTGAGTCAGAACTGACTGGATGGAACCCAACAAGCCACAGCAGCAGTATGAGGTGGGGAATCGAGAGTGACTGCTAAGGGCTCCAGAGTTCCCCTTGGGGTGATGAAGTTCTCTAAAATTAGATTGTGGTGCTATTTATACAACTCTGTGAATATATTAAAACTATTCTATTGTACACTTAAAATGGATGAGTTTTATGATCTTGACATTATATCCCAATAAAGCTATTAAAAAGTAATGGGTATATAGATACTTTCTGTGAAATTCTTCCAATTTAGTTGTAACTTTGAAAAAAATTTAAATAGGATGTTGAAGGAAAAGAGGAGCAAGCCAGGGGAAACACGAAGGGAGCACAACAGAGCAGGAAGTGAGGCAAAGCAAAGAAGTTTCCAAGGAATTCTGAAAATAGACCTTTGACCTGGGGGCAGAGCTTGGCACCTCCTCACACCCAATCAGAAAACATTCATAAGGGTCAGCAGACAGGCCTGGAACTATTTATAGACCTTTTCTTCTTCTTCTTCCTCTTCTTCTTCTATTATGTCAACCTATATAAGATAGACAGGATAAACAATCGTGAGGAGAAAACAAATGGACCAGGCAGCAAGGGGTGGGGGGTGGGGCCATGGGAGAGGAGGAGAGGGGTGGGATGGGGAAGGGAGGGAGGAGCCACCAAACACAGGGACAAGGAAACAACAAGAGAGAACTAAAACTGATGACAAGGAGGGCGTAGAATGCCTGGTGGGGTCTGATCAAGTTCAACGTAGTCGAGAGGAATTATTGAGAGCTGAATGAAGGTCCAACATGATAGTGGGACAGGAGGAAAGTAAAAGAAATAGAGGAAAGAATTAGGAGGCAAAAGACATTTATAAAGGTACAAATATATGCATGAACATATGTAAACATATTAATATATAACTATAGGGATATAGGTCTGCGCATATATATTTATATGTTA